TTTATAATAACTATATTTTATAGTTATTTTATAAAAAAAATAACGCTATGAAAGTAGATATCTTTACTAATTATAATAATCTCGTTTTCTCTATAGAATTTATCGAGATAGAAATCGAAGTAATTAAGATTTAATAAATTTTATTATTTAAAAGTATTTAACGAGATAGACGGCTTTTTAGATAAATCTTATAGCTCTAATTATTCTATAGAGTCTATAGGGCTAAATAGTATTTATAAATTCTATAATACTTAAGTTATAGCTCTTTAAATAATATTATTAATATCTTATTAAAGCTATTAATAATTAAGAGAAAAATTAGAAGTTATAATATTATTATAGATTGTAATCTCTATAGAGATCTTAGATATAGAAGAAGAATATCTACTAGATAAGCTTATTAATATAAGATTTCTTATTTAAATAAGATTTAAAGATTTTTATATAACTAGCGAGAGAGAGCTTAATAAAAATGAATTTAATAGAGTAATATTAATTAAAAAAGACTTTAGTAGCTCTACTAGCTATATAGTAAAATTATTAAAATCTCTAATTATCTTACGAAAGAAAGACTTATTAATAATCTAATCTAGTAATTATAGTACTAATAATTTAAATCTTAGAAAATTAAATCTAGTTTTTACTCTATTATCTTATAATATAGATAAAGATCTTAATAGCTCTAGAGACTTAAGAATATAGATAATAAAATATCGAATTATAGATACTATTGAAGGCTTTAATAGATTAAGATATAAGTATACTATTTTAATAAAGTCGTCGATTTAAAAGACTAGTATAATTATCTTTTAATTAATATAAATATAAACGACGTCGACGTTAAGAAGATATTCTATTAGATTAAAATTACTTATTAGATTAATAAGATAGTAGAGGCTTTTTAATTAATAAATAAAAGAGCGTTAATAAAAGGCTTAGATAATAGAATAGCTGTAAAGAATCAAGCAATAAAGTGCTATCAAATAAATAGATAATAATAGAGAAGCTCCTAGATCATTCGATAGTTAATTGATATTGAATAATAGTATTACTATCATATTATGAGAGTAATATAGAAATATAAACATAATAAGTGATATATAGTAAAGATAATTATTCTTCTACTAAGAAGTAACTACTTATAATACTAAGCTAAGGTTCTTGCTAAGATACCTCCTTGGCAGGTACGAAGGCAGGCGAAACCATATACCCATGCAATCACGACAGCTTACTGTGACACTGCTAAACCTTCCTACTATCGATCATATTAGTAAATGTGACTAGCGACGATCCGCCGCTGGCAGGGAAGGTCTGCCGAGATATCAATCACATTCACGAACGAGGGAAACTCAACCAATGGCGGTAGACAGGCATGAAATTGCCCCGTTCCCCTTTAAAAGATAAGCTTTCGCATCCCCAGCCCAACTCAGGATTGTTTACGATCTCAGGCCGTAGCCTCCCGAGCGTCACTGTGAGCTACAATGGGATCAGACTTAAAGCGAAAAGAAGCTCGAAAGAGGAAGTTCGAAGGCCAGCACAGCGAATCTTTACTTGATGCGGGCGTCAAATCGGGCTTGGAAGGCACATTAGCCGGCGGGCCACTACACAAGAAGTCAAATCAAGCGCCTCCACCACCATCTTCTTCGGAAAGAATTCCTACGGCTGAGAAAATTGCGGCTCGCAAGGTTGCGGTCGTAGACGAGTCCACGGACCAGGGGAAAGAAGAAGAATCAGCAATCCAAAAGGCCCAGAGATTCATCGTGTTCATTGGTCCGTCTACTCTGTTCAAATATGCTTGGCTCAGCCGTCTGACGGCGCTGTTCTAACACCAGGCAATCTACCTTACACTGCAACCGATGAGTCAGTAAGCAAGCATTTTGCGAAGATCAATCCTAAATCAATCCGTCACCGCAAAGAAAAAGATACAGAAAAGTCTAAAGGCTTCGCATTCCTGGAATTTGAAGGGTATGATCGAATGAAGACATGCTTGAAACTTTACCACCAGTCCGATTTCGAAGACGGGGAATCTCCCGCGAGGAAGCTGAATGTGGAGCTAACGTGAGTCTCGAAACGTGTTCCCAAGTCGACTACGAGTGACACTTAACAGGGCCGGCGGTGGTGGGGGTAAAAGCAAGGACCGGAAAAGTAAACTTCGAGCGAAGAACGAAAGACTGAATGAACAGCGAAAGCGAAGAAATCAAGAAGAGGAGAAACGAAGAAAGATTCCACAGAAAGATTCCCAACCTACACATGCGCTGGGCAACAACGGCGATATACACCCAAGCAGGAGGAGCAGAGTAGCCACAGATTCGCTTAATCTTTGATCCTGAAGTTCAATGGATCTCACTGCCGTCTTGTATTACGTTTAACGCAAGCGGATAGTGACGCGCGTTGCGACTCCGAGTGAGCGAGCAGATAGGCCTACTCATGAAGTATCACCCGTGCGCCATGTTCGAAATTCGAAGAACAAAACCCTTGCAGCTGGATCTGATTCCAAACGTCATATCTACATTCAAAGACTATAAGCCTATCCCAAACCGTCCGTACCTTGTTGGGTCGGGCGAGGCCCAAACTTTGCGACAATATAAAGGGAAATCTATCACGGAAACCGACCCGGCCTTCTCGTCCTTCCGAAGGCGTCAGATAATTCTCGGGTTCCAATGGCTCTGAAGACCTTGGAAGTTCAAGACAGTCTAATCCAGGTTCTGTTAGAGACGCTTCGTTCACTTAGAGATGGAAGTCTTGCGGCGATCACAAAATCATGCATTTGGTTCCCCGCTCTTTCTTAGGTTTCCCGATCGGGCGGGGATTCAAGACAGCTCTAGTCACATTCAGCATCTAACATTCACCGTAGTAATCCAATGGAGCGAACCCACCTGATGGCCTCGTCAAATACGCTCTTCAGGTTTCTTTGTGTCAGTGCTGAACATTCCAGATATTTATGTGCCCGGATCTCCTTCGACACCGCTAATGCTTGTTCATACGACACTGCCTCCATCCGCTTCGAGCGCAGCGCATCCATTGTTCCCTTATCCTCCCTCAAATCCAGCTTAGTGCCGACTAATATGATGGGTACGTTTGGAGCATGGTGTTCAATTTCTGGGAACCACTTTGCTTTGACGTTGTCAAAAGATGGTGGGCTCACGATGGAAAAACATATCAGGAAAACGTCGGTCTGTGGATATGACAGTGGCCGAAGTCGATCGTAGTCTTCTTGTCCAGCTGTGTCCCATAGCCCTAAGCTTATAGGCTTGCCATCGACCATAACACTTGCAGAGTAATTGTCAAAACTATATCAGGCGTCAGCAAGAGCCCAATGTAGTACTCGCGGAACAGCCCCCACACTGTAGGTATATATTCTCCAGGAAATGCATTGGTGGTGTATGATATGAGAAGACAAGTCTGCACAGAAGAAATTAGCAAACTTTGGACATGCCAATGCTGATGTATAGTGGCTACCTTTCCTACAGCCCCGTCGCCGGTCACAACGCACTATTTTAGAAACCCTTATTAGCGTCTGAATATGGGGCAGTAATAGTATTCCAGAAATACCTTCAAAGACTGGGTACTTGGCGCAGAGGCCATGTCGGACAGAGAAGCCGTGCGCTGGGCGAAGGCGTCAATGAAATATCAGATTTGGGAAGCAAATCAACGGTTGACTTAGTTACAAAATATCGCGGAATATGTAGTAGAGCCTACTTCTGCTGGGGGTCTCGCATCCGCCCTTGGCCCCTAAAAGCGCTTTGGAGCCAACGGAGCATGCAGTCAATCGGAAGGCGGTTGAAAATGCAAAGTACCGATGGGATCGATATCCCTGGCCCGCAATAGATCTTTAGATAGGAGTAGCTAGGAGACTAGCCAGGAAAGCAGATTTGGAGCTTGAATTCCTTTAGATGCATTGGCTCCCTATTGACATTCGCTTGCAGTGGTGTAAGAGCCAGACGTGTTCCAGATTGCTAAGGACACGTTGGAAGATAAGAGGCAGGAGATCGTGGAGTCATGCAGCAGTACACAGAGTTATTATTCGTTTCAACAACAAGGGGATCAGGGGACTAGGGGTTCCGACCCTGCACGCGCTTAATATAGAGTGAAATTCGGGTCACGTGACTCTTGGCGGTCACGTGAGATAATCACGTGACACGCCTTAGCGTATTTATATTAAGTCGCTCTTTTCTTTATAATAACTCTATAGTTAATATAACTGAGTATCTTATCTTATACTTTTATAAATTATAAGTTTAAACTCTATCTAGTAATTATTATATTATAATTACTATTTACCTCTATAATTATAACTATATTTAAACTTTAAAGATTTATTTTATAATATTTAAAGTTTATTATATAAAGACTATAGTAGTTATAAAGATATTTCTTTAATTTTATTAATAGAGATATTTCTTTCTCTTAAAATAATTATAGATTTAAGCGAGTATAATTTGTTATAATATTAGCCTCTTCGGCTATCGCATATATATCGCGTATTATTAGAGCTAGTAATTATTAGCTATTATTAGCTATCTATTTTATATATATAAATATTTATATATTCTATTAATTAATATTTAGTCTTTTAGTTATAGTTATTTCTTTTCTAATATATCTAATATTCTACTTTTAATAGATTATAAGCCCGAAAGCGAATAAGATTGTCATGAGATGCCTCAGGGATACTCATAGGGCCACTAGCGTAGGCTTGGCACCGCACATATCTGCCTGCAGACCACATAGATAATCAACATCTTTTACTACACACACATATAAGTCACACCATAATGATTCCTTAACAATTGGTAGCAACACCTTAAGATCTAATTCCACTTGATCCTATGATGTAGTAGACGTCTTCACGTCTACACCACACGTTTACGCAAAGCCTGCATCAACACCTAATAGTGCAACGCTCCAAGCCGGACCTCCAATACACTCGCGTCATCGAGTACCTTTTGACAACAACCCACGTCCAAATCGATCCTTTCAATAGGCCTGTCGATATCACAATGAACTCATACGCTGCAAGACTTGCCTCATTCACGTCATGGCCACACGTATATCCAAGTGCCTCTGACGTAGCCCGTGCTGGCTTTCATCGAGAATTCGACCCTACTTTTCCATCCCCGGATCTAACGGTGTGCTCACTATACGATCTTGATCCTTATAACTAGGATAGTGACAATCCATTTGATTTCCACGCTACTCGATCACCGAAGTGTCCATTTGTACGTGCAACACAGCAGAAAAAGAAGAACCGGAATCAGAAGACTCGCCAGCAATACAAGAGGTCTCTAAAAGCCACTCAGTCAGCCACTCAGCCAGAGCACTCAGTTGAACAAGAGGAGGAGTCACTACAACAGGCAAATGCGGAGAACACTGCGGAGAAACCAAGCGACAACAAGGCCACCATCATCAAGAACACGGCTCAGCTCTCCAAGATCCCACGTCATATGCTCTCTACGATTCCACATCAAACCACCACTCAGCAGGAGAACATCACTGCAATTTGGCCTATCATCTCCGCTGCACGATTGTGGCACACAATCACTGAGTTGAGCATACAAGAGAAGGATCTACTACGACGGTCACAGCCAAATCACTATGGCTATGGCAATTGGACCTCTGCAGGCAAGGGTCACATCGGACGATGCATATTTGGACGAATTGAAACCGTCCGATGTCTTGCTTCAACATCCATTTTACTATTCGAAAGGCTTTCACTGCGGCAGGAGAACTTATGGGATTCACACCACTAA